GAGGGGGCCCAGGTGGGAGGTTAGGGAGGTGTTTGGCGTGCACGCCGGCGTCTCGGGTCTGGGCAGCAGCAGCAGCAGCAGACTCGCTGAGGAGGGTCTGCATTCAGAATTTATTTTGAAGACAGCACAGTGTGGACCCCCTGTCTTTGGTCCACGCAGCCGAGAAAACAGAGGTTCCGTTTGCTGAAATGGGGAGGACAGAGGGAGGACGGCTTTGCAGGGGGAGACGGGGAGTTTAGCCTGGAGCCTGTGGAGCGGCAGATGCTCGTGGCAGCTTCAAGCAGGGATGTCTGGTGGGCAGCCTCATGCACCAGCCTGGAGCGCAGAGCAGGAGCCGGGACTCGGTGCATGGATGCGAAGCCATCGGGGTGGAGCTACAAAGCAGTGGGAGATCCTTCAGGAGGAGAGAGACTGTGGACAGAGATAGTCCCAAGTACCGCGTCTGGGCCGCAGCACTTGGAGACCAGAGGGAGGCGGGTGAGGCAGCGGGAAGGAGAGTGGGAAGGCCCCTGAGTTAGGAGAAAACTCACAGCGGTGCGAGGGAAGAACGCACAGTTTCTGTTTGTCGCTGATCATTTCTTGAGGATAGGTCCCGAGCAGTGGAATTACCAGGTCAGAGGGCGTCTGAACACATTTGAAACCCTTGCCGGATGTTGTCATGCTATTTTCCAAAACGTCGCATCAATTTGTATTTCCATTATCAGGGCATGGTTTTGCCCATGGCAGAGAACCGTTGCGTCTTTGCCAATTTAATAGGCAAAAAAAAAAAGACATCCCGATTTTAACCTGCAACTCGTTGCCTCTACTGAGCCTGAACGCTTTTATTTTCCGTGCTTGTCGCCCGCTTGTGTTCCTTATGTCGTTGCCCCTAATGTCTTCCTCTGCCGTGGTTATGCAGTGTTTCCGTGTCATTGTTAAAGGATTTGTTCACGTTAATAACCAATCCTTGTATTTCTTACAGATATTTTCTGGTTTGCTGTTCTCCCTTGTAATTTCACTGTTGCGTTTTCCAATATAAGGTTTTACATTTGTACGTAACTACGTGTATCCATCCTGTTCCCGGTGATCTCGTGCTTTGCCGTTGAGTTAGGAAAACCTCCCTGCCTCTGTATTTCGGGAATGCTGGCCAGTCAGCTCCTCACACTGTTTGTGCCAAATTTGGATAATAGAATTTCTTCATAAAATAAGTCGATTTCCCTTTCGTTTTCTTCTGTACGCTGCTGTGGATTTTACTGTATGCGATTTGTGTGTTTCACGAAGCCCCGAAAACACCCAGCTCGTTCCAGGCAATGTGTGGACAGCACTTCCCTCCTTTCTCCCCGGCTTACGGCTCCAGCCCAGGATGTTACTTTTTCTCCAGTTATTTTTTCCTAATTTGTTATTTTCACTAAGTATCACATTTTCTCATGGCGATGGAATTTATTAGCATAGAACTGTGCATAATATCATCTCATAATTATAATTACTTTTGTCAGCCTATGCTATGTGTCTCTTCTAATTTCCAATTTTCTTTATTTTTATTTTTTCTTAATTAGATTTGCTGAAGTTTTATATTTTATTGGGTTCTTCGAAGGGTCAGCTCTCAAACTTAATAAACGACGTTATTGTTTTCTCTTCCAAACTTGTGGGGCTTGATTTGGTCTCTACTAGTCCTCGTGGTTTCCGAGGGCTTGTCTAACTGCCTCGACTTCCCGAGCTGCCCTCTCGCTCCACACGGGCGTGACTTCCAGCTTGGCCGCGTCCCTCCCTCTCGGCTCTCGGAAGACAGACTCTGCCGCCTGCTGGCGTTCGGTGTTGCAGAGAAGTCTGAGGTCAGCAGTATTTTTATTCCTTTAAATACCTTGCTTTTCCCTGCACAGACGGGCATTTTCATTGTCCTCGAGCTTCCAAAAGGTTACTCTGTCCAGAAGGACACATGCGGCCGACAGCAGCTCTCTTCCCCGTGAGCTTCCCGGCAGGCACTGCGAAAACCGCCGTCCCGGGTCCCAGAACCTCTTGGGGAGGGTCCGTGTTTGCCGCCTCTGGCTGAGGTTGGGGCCTCTTCCCGTTCTCTTTATCCGGCTTCCAGTCACCCCTTTCAGTCGGTGGATTCGAGTCTTCCATCAGCTCGGCAAAGGTTTTGAGTTTTAGGGTCTCCACATTGCTTCCACCTCTGCTGTTTCCCTTTAACCGTCTGAGTTACTCTTACATCAAGATGGAGACTCCTGAGTTAGTTCTTTGTGTCCATGATCCTCTCTCTCATCTTCCCTGTTTTCGTTTGTTAACTCAAGGAACTCTAACGTTAAACGGTGTCATTCAGAGGGGGCGGGAACAGGCACCCCCAAGGTGGGGTGACCTTTTTTTCCTCTGTCCTTTTCTTCTGCAGATATTTGCCCTAGAGCACATCGGTTAAACCCCAAACCCCTGACCTTGGCCTTGCTGCCGTGTGCTGAATTCATGTGCTTCCCTCTCTGGACCCAAAACCCACAGTGACTTTGTCACGAGCTGTCACCAAGTCCGGTCACATTCCACGTGCAGTCTGTCCAACCAACACTGTTGAGTGCCGGCCCCGTCCATGCAAACGCCGGAGCTGCCGGGAGCTTCCGTGAGCCCCGTGCTGGAGAGCCGAGGGTCACGGAGCAGGTCCCGGCTCTCGGGGGCCGACATCCCCACGGGGGCTGGGAGAGGCCGGAGAAACCAGGGACCCGCGGGGATGAAAAGCGGCCGGACGTGCTCCTGGGCTGTCCTCGTCGCCCTCCCTCTTTGTGACTCACGTCTGGGGGGACACGGGGTGCCCGTCCCCGCACTCCCTGCCCCGCTGCGTCCCGGCGGTGGCCGTGCCGGCGCTCGGAGAGGAGCCGAGACTCCCGCAGGCTGGACGCTCGGAGAAGGCCGCTCCCGCCTGCCGTCCTTTCCAGGATGGGGGTCCACGCGTGCAGGGGGTCCACGCGTGCAGGGGGTCCACGCGTGCAGGGGGTCCACGCGTGCCTTGGCTTTCGCCGCTTGACCCTCAGGCCTGCGAACACGGTGGCGTTGGGCAGAGCCGACTCACGGGGCACACGCATGAGCAGGCCCAGTGTCGGGCGCTCTGCTCGAAGTCGAGCCTTCCTCCCCCGCCGTGCCTTCCCTGCTCTCCTCCCGCCCGCTTTCCCTCCACGACGCGTGTCCCTGGGCCTCGCCTCCGGGAGGCCTTCCCGGCTTGCGCGTGGACTCGCCCAGTGGCCGTCAGAGTGTGTGGCCACGGCGTGCTGGGAGGCAGGCGTCTGTCCCCTCCCTCAAGTAGAGACTTCGCCCTTGCGGGCCGCGGTGTAGCTCGCCAGGAGCCAGAACCCCGGGCTCAGCGGTCTGGGGCCGAGAGCGAGAGCCCGGGCTGCCTGCGGGTCGCAGGGGGCGCCACCCTGAGAGTCTCCGCCCCGAGTCTCCCCTGGGCAGCCTCTACGGCTCGTTATTACTCCCTAATACTGCAGGTCGCAAATACGCGCTGCTGACGTGGACCGAGTTCCCGTGATTTTGGAAAATATAAGGCGTTCACAGCACAGTTAAAATCGGCCTCCCCCTTCCCTGCTCCTGCCCAGTCGTAGTAGGAGAGCAGGCCTGGCTCATTTTTTTCTATATATGTTAGTTGGCCAATTAATTTCTTTCTATTTATAGTAGAGACGGGCCTGCCATGCGCGTGTGCACCGTGAGTCGGCTCTGCCCAACGCACCTGTGTTCGCAGGCCTGAAGGGTTCAAGCGGACGAAACCAGCACGTGTGCGGACCGCCCTGCACTCGTCGGACCCCTCGCGACCTGCGGTGGACCCCCTGCACTCGTGCCCCCTGCCACTCGCGTGGACCCCCTGCACGCGTT